TGTTTTGAATAAGTACATAAAATTTGAAGGACAAGGGAAACTCAGAGCTTAAAATAGTTATTCAAAACAATAAACAAATAAACAGCATGGTCGAAATCGAGGTCGAACATTTAACAGCAACCAGAGACTTAAAGCGGCTATCGCTCACAAACGTTCAAAGAACGTTCAAAGAAAAAAATTATAGAATAAACGCAAAGCAGACTAACAAAAATGTTACTGTGCAAGTCTTAAAAAAAAATATATATATATATATATATTTTTTAAGTCAGTGTCATTTTTTATTAGATATAAAAATCTGAGCGAAAGGGTAGAACTTAAGCATTTTTGTCAGTCATGTAAAATATGCATATTGGAAAACAGTTTTTGAAGACAAATAACAAGGAAAACAAACAAAAATAAAAAAATCAATTTTTTTTTGATTTTTCAATCTTTCGTCCCAAATTTTTGAAGCTTTTGATTAGCAAGATGACGCTAAAAACTCCAAAATGTAACTTTCTTAGAATAAAACTAACTTTTCGAGGCTTAAATTAAGCATAAATAAGCTAATTGAAGCCAGCTCACTCGCTCGAAATTAGACAAAAAAAATCAAAAATTTTAAACCTGTTTTTCTGGACACCAGGAAATTTTTTTTTTGAAATTTTTTTGTTCGAATCACGACTGAAAGAGTTTTAATATGAATTATCACTCAACCCAGTCCGATCAATATTTGTGGTAACTGATTTTGCGTGGAATAAAAACTAAAACACACTCTAATACCAAGTTTCTCCCATTTTCAATGGCCGGAACAATAACAGCGAATTCTTAACAGCAGATCGACATAAGCAATCAGGGCAAAGACCAGATTTTCAGGTTAGAGGTAAAGCTGCCATTCTCGCAATGAAAACAAAAAGAGATACCATTCCAGATACCAGATACCAGATACCATTCGAAAAAAGTCCAAAAATGAATAAAACCATTTCAAGAAGGTCCCTTGAGGTTTTACTCCTGCGAGAAATCCTGCGCTAGTCATTCAGGGTGAGTTTAGAGTCCATTACCGGCATCATCTTTCAGTACCTGAGTTCGACCATATTTATAAATGGTATGCTGTAACGTTCAGCCAAACAGTTTAGACTGAGTCTTAGTAGAGTTTCTTTCGTCTCTGTGTTCAATGAATGAACTAATTGCCACTCAGTTTCGTCAAGAACTGCGCCTTCAATCATAATCTACTAAAAGTTTCTATCAATCAAATTTTTTGTCTCAGGTATAAATATGATTTTCTTACAAAACTGATTTTTTTTAATTTACCATTTGCACCGGGTTATTTGCCGCTTTTTGCCTCGAAATTTGATTCAAACCTCGAGATAATGAAAAACTATGCAAAGTGTTTGTTAGCTTCGCACATGATATATACAATCAAAAAAAAACATGCACTAATTTCGGGTCTAAGACTAAAATAATTAAAACCCCTAGTCTAGAATATTGCATTTTTAATTTTTAAACGAGCTCATTATGCCCAAGGTCTAACTAGCCACTAAATGGTCAATGCAAGCAGAAGTATGATCAAGTTTCTTAACTATATCATGTCTTAAAACCTTTTTGTCCAATTTGAAAGACAGATTAGACAAAATTACTCGCAAACCTTTTTCCCCTCCAAAATGAATGTTTTTAGGACTATCAGACAATTTTAAACCATAAGTTAAATATTTTTTTTTAGATACCGACCGAGAGAAAAATTTCTCAATTACCATCTATGGAAATATCAATCATTTGGTTTTCAGGTAAAACTTACGCTCGAAATTGTGAACGAAAAGCTCCAAGCAGCTTTTAACTGTGCACTAAAAATGTAGGTAGTTTATTTGATTTTTTTAAAAATTTTTGCACTGGTGCCTCAAAGCGTGCATTTGTAAAATTTTGCACAGAGGTATGTGGTGCAATGAGCAAGAAAAATTGATTTCTAAGAACAAATGTTTAACACAATTTTTAAAATGAGCGTTCATTATCTTGAAGAAGGTACTGTTACGGTTTGCAAATTGATTCTTCTGGGGTCTTCGGGAGTCGGCAAATCCAGTCTCATTCACAGATTCGTCCAATCAGAATACTCGAAGGTTGTACCAACTTCAGCTGTTCCGGAAGTCAGTACAGTAGCAGTTAACTTGGATGACAAAGGGCTCTTTTCCAGTTTCCGAACGCTCACATGAGATTTGAATCGAAAACGCATTTTTGGTAACGCATTTTTTTCAAAATATTACTCGCAGAGCCGATTGTTTCGGAAAAGTGAGGCCTGAATAAGGTGTTGAGAAAATTTGAACTACAAAAACTGGGAAATGTTTCCCAAAACCGCGATCCGAGCCTGTTCTAAAATGTAAAAATCTAAGAGTTAGGTCAACTTAGTCTTGAATAGTGGCAAAAAGATTTTATGAAGTTGAGCAGAAGGCGCTTTCTTTAAAAGCCTCAATTGATCGCTTGGAAATCCAAATGGTCTTTTTCAGTTCCACTGTCTTCCACTATTTTAGTTTTACTGTAAATGTTTGTTAACTGCTTTTTTGCGCGCCGTTTGGTCTGTATACAACAGAATGAGAAATGCAACGCAAAATTTTGGTCATTACTTTAAAAAAAATCAAAACAGGCATTTTATCCTAGCGAAGATAAATTTAAACCATTAAGGTCTCTCTGATTTACCAGGAGAGATTGATAAAAAAAAGCATAGTGGTAAGGCGTCAACTTAGAGATAGTAAGAAAGTGTATTTGATCCGCTGTCATTGCAATGCTATTGCGCGAGGACCCGCTCTTACCTCACTTCCGGCTTCAGTTTTATCGCAGCCTGACTGATTAAGGCTGCAATAGTGGTACCACATGAAAGTTCCAGACACACAAAAAACAGGCATGCTTAGATCCTCTGCCAATCACTATATCTCTACTTTAGCAAAAAATTGAAGATAAATATTTTGGGAAAGTTAGTCTTCTTCTCAAAATTCATAATATAACTCAGGGAGTAATTGAGCTGGACAAGAGCTTTGCGCAGTTGTGGTCGACCTTCAAATTTTTGATACACTTGGACAAGAAAAGTACGATTCATTAACAAATGCGTTTTACAGACAGTCGGATGCGGTTATGTTTGTATTCGATATCTCGAATCGGGAGTCATTCTACGACATCTCTCATTGGCTGAGACGTGCTCACGAGAATGGATGCATAGCAAGCGACGCCGATTCCGAAGACAAAAATTTTTATTACCATCTTTACGCAAAGTATTCAGTATTGGTTGGTAACAAATCAGATTTGAGCCATATAGAGCGCCGAGTTTCGTATTGGGAAGCAACATTAGTTGCTTCGAAGTTTAATTTGAAGTATTTCGAGACTTCTGTTGTTGAAAATTCGAATGTGTTTCTGGTCTATTATGACATAATGAAAGAATTCCATTTGAAGGAAAGTCAAATGGATGATTGGACGACTACAGTGAATACGTTTGGAACAGACTCTACTTTCAGACTTAGTAAAAGAGCATCGACAACTAAGAATGAGGGATTGGTAACCAAATGCTGCAGAAATTAGAATTGTTGATACGCAATTTGATGTTTTTTTTGTAAAATCAGAGCTTAGCATGGAGAAAATTATCAAAAAAGCACTAATTTTCATTTAACTAACTGTTCGCGTCTAATTGCATCAAAGAGATCCTAATGTATTTTCTGAAGAGCAATGACTTGTAGAGATCCTTCCTCCTAGTATTTATTGAGAACTCGGAAAATCAAAATTGATTGTTGAGAAGCACCTGCCAAAGTTCTGCAAATCTTCTAAAATGACTTCTACTCAATGCACTAGTGTCTGAGGGTGACACATTCATTTTGGTCACAAAAAAACTCGTGTCTTTTTTATCAGGAAAACAACAGTGTTTTTTATACTAGATAAAATTGGGGTTTTTGTAGAAAAAAAAATTCAGCCTGTGTAAAGATAGTTCGTTTCTATTAACTTCCCTCATTGAAAACTAAGTTATTTTGTTAAGCGAAGATTTTTTTCTCAACTCAAGTTTTTTTGCGTTTTTTTTTCCGTCTAAAACTTTCACGTGGTAACAATATTGCAACCGGAATCAGTCAAGCTGTGGTAGACCTGAAGCTAGAGGTCAAGTCCTCACACACTATCATTGCCATGGCAGGGGATCAAAAACACAATCTGACTATCCTAAAGTGAACGCCTTACCACTATGTTAAGTCATTTCTTTGCCCAGAAACTTAATGAAACAAATCTGTATATTTTTGGACAAAAACTTGAAACAAATTTGAATCGGATTTGAACCCGATAGCAATAGTTCATTATCATTATTGAAACAATGAATTTTCAAATAATGTAAAAAAAAAACGTTTTAGAAATGAACTTTCTAAGATTTTTGTAGAATTTTTTTTTTACAAGAATATCTTTTTTGAAGACTGAAAAGGAAAAGCAAGGATTACTGGTTCTGCTACTCACCACGTTCAATAGTAAAGAGCGTAGTGAAGACCCTTTTATAGGTCTTGCTGATTTTTTTTCAGCAAAAAGTCATCTGCTGAAAGTTACGTAAAAAGCACTCTCCAAATACGAACATAGAAATGGCGCAAAAAAACATGAAAGATTTCCAGTTTCGAATTTAATTGTTAGATTTCCAGCGGAAAAAAAACTTAACTTATTGATTGAAATTTCCCTAGTTGGGTTTATGTTATCAAGAAAGCGCTAATCATAAATTGTTCTAAAAGTTCAAAGAGCTTAAAGGGCATCCATTTTTTCTTTGAAATTTCAAAGTTGAGATTTTTTCAAGAAAGACTGTTTTTTTATGTTTACTTGCAATCATTACTGTTTTCCAATCTTCGATTGGCTATGTTAAATTGTATCAGCTGACAATTCTCGCACAAAAAATCTGTCAATTTTATTACAAATCGCACAAATTTAGTAAACAAATTTGCATTTCAAAATGTGACACACTTTGTGCTTTTTACTGATTCCTTTGGTGTTTTAAAAAAAGAGCTAAAATTAAATGTTTGCTGAAATTTTTTTCATTTAAATCTGGTGTTAGATACCAGCATGAAATATCACTGAACAATTCCACTTTTAACTGAAACACTTTTATTTCTGGTCCACTTCATTGGCAATTCGCAGCGTTAATTTCTTTATTGTATTTGTATAATTATAAATTTTGTTATTTTCATTTTTTCACGATCATTTTTTGAAGCTGTTGCGAGGCTTGTTTTTCTCTTCAAAATGGGCGATGAGTTGGATTACATTTACCCTGGCACAGTGTTCATATGTCTGGGTATTCTGTCCTGCGTGAACAGTTTCTACCTGTTCATCACAGGCAAGGTGTTGGAGTCTGGACTGTGCCAGAGTGTGACCATCTCTGTCAAGGGACTCCTATTCCCCCTTGAGAGCTTCGCCAGGACACTCTTGTGCATCATTGGTGAGGCGCACTCATTGCTCAGTTTTTACTCTGAGAACCCTTCAAAAGTTCCCTGATCAAGGCCACGCGTGGCTTTTATTTAGATTTTGAAAGGCGCTCTGTTAACAGTTCCGAGATCAAATATTGTAAACCCTGAGATTAAAGTCGTTTCGAAGTCTTAATTTAACACAACTAAAGTCTTAGATCCACCACTCAAAATATTTTATTCAAGTCCGAAGTCTTAACACCGTCGTGCCACACTTACTTTTGTCATAGTCGCTCCGAAGATTTTTGATAGTACCGCTAAACCTTAGCATTGTTGGACTAAAATGCTATCAGTTAAGCGATTATCAATCTCAAATCCTAAAATTGAGACCCGCGTAAAAAATGCTAATATTCATTTTAGAATTATATTCGAACTTTAGTTTCCGTACCAGGCATAAAAAATGTAATGGTAGGCCTTGAAATTATGCAACGGCAAACAAGCAGAGGCAGATGTCTTCTTTACTTGAGAAAATTGATCAGAAAGCTAATAGTTTGCGTGAAGTCTTCTGGGCAAGAGGACATAATGGCTAATGGAAGTCTGGGATAGCGATATTAAACAGGCACTGAAATTAGGGGCTGAGCGACAAATCGTAAACGGCCAGAACTCGAAACAAGCGACAATGCAAAACAAGGCATTGTTAAAGGTCGAGACTTTGATATGAACTTGAAAACTAATCCAATTGGTATGACCGACATAATTATTAGCCTAAATTGATAAAATTTATTTAAATTTGACCATGATCCTGAAAATATTCATGCTAAAGATCGATTATCAGGCTGAATAAGAATAAAAAATAGAATTAAAACTGGATGTGACTAATTAATTGATAAATTCTAAGCTTTATTCAAATGCCGATCATTTTAGAGTGATACTTCAATTTGTGATCCAATTTTTCGACTAATCTAATAATGATTTTTTTTTGGATAGTCGGCAAAAAAGGCAGTGCCTAAACGGTTTGCAATCAGTCACAATCAGAGTTCCACCAAAGCAGCAATTGTTCCTGGTTTAAACTGCTAGAGATATCACTTTAAAACGCAAGTCAAGACAGTTCATTTTTTACGTCTCCGTGAAGCTGCAAAAAGACGTCTTTTCTCTCAAAAAAAATAATTAAATTTTATTTAAACAAAAAGTAAAAGAAAAAATTGAAAAATCTTCCCATTGAGTTGGCCGTAGTGCAAAAAAAATACAACTGATTTTTTTCTTCGCATATATTCATGATATTATGTTATTTTTGTTTATAACCCGGTATTTCTTCTTTTTTTTATCTCATTGCTTAAGATAAAACTCGTGGCCTGATGTCACTAACATTAGTTAGTCTTTGGAAGATAAATTAGGTTGAAAAGTTGCTTCAAACATTATACCTCATTGAATGGTATCACAATGGTTCAAGTTTAAAGCAAATTGGCTTGATGTAAAAGTCTTAGAAGTCTTTTGTTGCCTTCAATTAGAACATATAGGTTATCTCTATTTTAAACCCGCGAAAAAGAGATTTTTTTAAAACTAATCGAAATGAAATTACTTCGGGGATGCTTGAAACATCAAGTGAACTAGGAATGGCTTCTCTGTCTTCAGTCAGTACACTAAATTAAAATACATAAATCAAGGTCCTAATTTCGAGCAATTTATCGGTTTTGAAATGTGATTTAATTGTTGAGGGGTTATCATGTTACGGGTTATAAAGTAAGGGGTGTATAAATAGGGAGTTAAATAACGCGGGGATAAACATTGGGAAACCATTTTTGAGCTATCTTTTTTCCAACTTTTGGATTACTGATTTGCAATTTGAATAGAAAATGTTATAAAAATTGCAGATAATTGGAAATTATTTTTTTCTGTCTCTGAATTACCACACGAATATCAGTTTATTTTCGACCCTGCTCCAGGTTTGTTTAAACCGTGCTCGACCGTGCTCGAGGTATGTTTCGAATTGGTGCTCGACCAAAACCCATGTCTCGACTATTTTTTTTTAGTCGTGCACTGACATTTGATCGATTCTAAAAGTCGAATCACAAAGTGAGCCCATCGAGCCAGGTGGCTACCTGCAAAGCAACCAGTTTTTTTAGTTGACCATAAAGTTTAAGTTTTATTTTAAAATTTAATTGAACGCAGGCACAGGATAAAATACTTTGATTTAGAAAATTGTTACTTCAATAAAATTGATATCAAGAGGAATCCACCACCAGCATGTAATGTATTCTTTGTAACGTCCTGCAAAAATTGGAAGATAAATTCCTAATTTTTTCTCAAATTTTATGTAACAGTCTACTTAACGTAGTTCTTTCATCACAAAGTTTGTTTTGCAATTTCAAAATAGCTTTAAATAAGAATAAAACACAGCAAAATTCTCAGCAAGAAAAGACGCAAACTAGTGAATCCTTTTCAAATGGCTTAGGAATCCTGATTGAGATCCTGACGACTTCGAAAGACAACCACTTTCTGCGCTCCCAGGACAGTCAGGAGATGCTCATCTACTGCTTCTACATGTTCGCCTCCTTCTGCGAGTGCGCCTGCATCCTCTCCCCCAAAATAGACCGCAAGCTGACCATGATAGCCTACGCCATGGCCTCCTTCGTCGAGTCCTACTTCGCCTACCACTTCATCGAATCCAGAGAGCAAAGCTGTATCACCGTGTGCTGGTCCCTTCTGGCATGTGTCCAAGGACTCACTTTTCTGCTGCAGGCGCTGGATGTGAACAATGCCAGTGTGCTGATTGTGAGGAATGCCAGTTTGATCATGCATGGAACGTGGCTGTACCATGTAAGTTTACAAATTTTGTTAATTTTTTTCTAATGTTGTTTTAAAAACTAACCTCAAATCTTTCAGATAATATAAAATATTGTGGAAGTTTTCACATTTTTAGTGAGTTTTCCCATAAATTTTTCTGAAGTTCGGTTAAATTTTTCCTACAACTGAAAGTGAAGAGAAAATTCGGCGCATCGGGTGTGCTTTTTCCTCTCAAGATCAAGTACCACAAGTGAAATCAAATAGATTCGAGTGATATATTATGAATAAAAACTTTCAGTCGTAATAGTCACATAATTTTCAAATAACCTATCCGGTCTTCACTCGTACTCAAGAAAAGCAGTTGAAAGTTAATTGTTTTTTATATTAAAACAGTTAAATTACAAAAAGAAATCAATACTCATGCCTGCCCCTGCACAAAAAAACGAAATAAAATTTAAAAATGAACAACGCAATGTTTTTCAATTTATTTATCCGGGCTTCTCTTGTATTCGCATCTGCATCTTATACAAACAGTAGTTAAATCAAAATAGCAAATTACTTTTTTTTTTCATTTCAGGTTGCCTTCTCAGACTACATCTACGGACCCACTGATGGCCAAATGGACCAAATGTACGAGGAAAACTACGATTTTTCTAGAAACAACCTTCGTGACCTTGAACTAGACCCAGTTTTAGTTGAAACCTACCAATCCGTTAAGGTATCCAAGGTCGCGTTCGACTTCATTCTGCATTTCTTATTAGCCTTCATGTTTACAGTGTGGAGTTTCATAATTATGTCAATTCTTTTACGAAACGAACCGAATGACCCCAGAGACGGGTCTTCTCGGCCGCTCGTCGACGACGAAGATTTGTCAGAATTCGAAGATGGCATTTTTGGGAAACAGGGCGACTTACCAGAATCACGGGTTATTCCTGAGAACGGAGAAGACAGTGGAAACGCCAACGAATCGGTCACAAATTTTGGGATCTAAGAGATAACTGCAAAATAAAATTACTTGAGATTTGACCCGATGATGGCTTGTATGGTTACTGGTTTGACTTAATTTGAGTTAATTTGATTTAATTACTATTCAGTTTCATTTTGAAAACATGCATTATAAGTTGCCAATTTAATTGTAACCTAAGAAATTTGAGTTTATTGGATAGATTGTTTTGTTCGAATTGAGTTTTTCTTGAAGCAAAACCGACGAATTACAAGGAATGCTGTCTTCTAGTTTCCTTTTTTTCGAAGGCTAGCAGTTCTGGATAAAATTTGAAGAAACGTTGTTTCATTTTTTTCGTCTTAACGGGAGGAGATTGCAATTGCGTGGCACTGTACACGTGCGTTTTTGCAGCACCTTTTGGTATATTCAATTGTATATGTTCTTCTTGCCTTTACGTTGATAGATGTTTTTATATCCAAAATAATCACGTCAAAATGTAATGTGCGAACTTGGTCTGAAGCAATTCCATCATATAGAATCACAATCAAGCCAATATTTTCTACTTTTAATTTCAAACAAGATCTTTCATAAATGCTTCTTGAGTATTTTCTTACTGCTTTGATTGTGTTGCATGAACACTGATGTCTTTGGAAGAAACAGGAGAAGAACTATCAACTCGGAGTTCCAAGGCAGCTGAAGTCATTCAACGAGCATGGCGAAGACACATCGTAAGTTAAATTAGATATGATGTAAGCAAGAACTTAATAGCCTTGTTGTTCCGACTTTCGATACGAAAGTAACGGAATATTTGTGCTCAGGGTGGTTTTTTTTTTCTTCAGACAAATTTGGACTTTTTAACTAGCCTTTTTTGACGGATTTTTTTTATATCAGTCGAAAGGTATTGTTGTCCTGAGCTCAAATTTGAAAAGATATTTCACCTGTGACCATTTTTCGTAAAGTTACGGGGGCTTAAAGATTGCCATTTTGGCCAATTTGGGACAATTAACGCGCGATATATTTCGCACTATTAATGCGTAAGCGGAGATTTAATCCGTCTTAGAAATCGTTCCAAATTGGTTAAAAGAAGCTTATTTGCCATAATTGGTTTGTTACAAGGAGCGAAATTTATCATTTTGTATTTTATATGGCATGTGGGGGGATGATTTTCAAAAAAAAATCACATTTTAGAAAAAAAAAATTTTCTTTTGTTTTATTTCATTGAATTTTTAATAGTTATTACTGCTCCATAAACCTTAAAAGGCAGTCGGAACATTCAGGGCTTCGCCCTGATACGAGCAGTCTTGTTTTGAAATAAACTTAATTAGCTCTTGTATATACTTCACTCAAAAACTTGTTTTCGATCAAAAACAAGGTAAAATTAAGCATACAAGTGCCATAAATTAACGTCCGATGGGGTCGAACTATATATTATACTTATTAAGAGTCATGAACGTAGTGAATACTCTTGTATAGGCTTCAGTGACTTTTTCGTTTTTTTTTTATTCAGGAAAAGTCGTAAAATTTGTTCATGCTAAAATTTGATTTTTCTTAGTTTGACTTTTGATTTATTTTTAAACTAATTTCTTTTTTTTGTTAAAAAGACGGCAAGTTCCACTATCGATCAGAAAAATTGTTAAGGTCACAAAAACGTGATTGACTTCTAGAAAGTAGATTTAAATTTCAAATTAGTGGAATAGAAAAATACTTATTTATCCATTTTTCTCAAATTGCGCTAGCTTTACTGAAAAGTGTCACATAATTTTTTCTTGAAACTCAAAGAATCTTGTCCATATATTTTTCTCTAAGGCTCAAAAATTGAAAATTTCTGTAGAAAACAAGCCAGTTTTTTTCCTGCTTCCTTCCGTTCATGACTCTTTTCCAGCTGTCTGTTGCTATGTTTTACCTTCACTTGTTATTCCACCAGCAAACAAAATCTGTCAAACTTTTCCTTAAACGATAAGAAAAAAATAAGAAATAAAAACAAGTAAAACAGCCAAAAAATTATTTTTATATAAATCAGTATTAGCATTTTTTCAGTATTTCCTGTTTTTTCTCTAAAATTTGATTCACGAAAGCCAATTTACAACAAATCTATGTTTCATAATATTATAAATGATTATAAAAATTTATTATTTGTCATTGCATAGTTCCTCTTGTCGGATAATTTTCCTCCTTTTTTTCTCTAAAATTTGATTTACGAAAGTCAATTTAATACAACTTGATGTTTCATAGTGTTATAAATTATTATAAAATTTGATCATTTGTCATTGCATAATTCCTCTTGTCGGATAAATTCAAAGTAACATCGCATCTCCTCAATAAATGAGCTAAACTGAGCTGCACGTGAAACTGGCGATGGGCACAAAGTTTTTAAATTGTCAGAAAAAACTTTCAGCTATAAAAAATTTAAAAAAAATTGATTTGGCCTGCATTATTTGACTGCATCCTTGAGTTCACTGCTTAGTGTTAAATTTGAATTATTATTGCACTCTTTTTTTGCTAATATAAAGATCTCAGGTTATATAAGGACTATGAAACCAATGGGCTACGAAGTTTAAATTTACTTTGCGAAGGTCTGATTTAACTTCAAAAAGAAAGGTTTCGCTTGTACGTTTCCAACTATCTTTTATTTCATATTTTAACGCCCGTTATGATTTGTTTGAGATATATACTTGAGAAAACAGTAATGAATTTAGAAAAAGAAGAAAGGATAGTTTTGAATTTGAAAAGTAACGGTTAATTTAAGTTTGACATGAGAGTGTGATGGCCCTGATTTTTTAGGAAAATCACAAGAAATCACATAAACCACAAACGCAGAAAAAAGGTCATATTTTTAGGCTCTTATCCGAAACTCAAATTGCAAATTTTGTTCCGACTTTTGAAACGGAATATTTGTGCTCGGGGTGGTTTTTTCTTCAGACAAACTTCGACTTTTTAACTAGCCGTTTTTGAATTTTTTTTCGATCAATAAAAAGAAATTGTTGGCCTGAGCCTAAATTCAAAAAGATATTTCACCTGTGGTGTTTTTTGTAAATTTTTATGGGGGATTAGAGATTGCCAATTTGGCCAATATAGGACAATAAACACGCGATATATTTCGCGATGTTAACGCGTAAGCGGAGATTAAATCTGTCCCCTAAGTCTGTCCCCTTAAGGGATTAACTTTGCCCTGATATACGAGCAGTCATGTTTGCCATAATTGATTTGTTACTGGGAGCGAAATCGATCAATTACATTTATTTTTTTTCTGCTCCATAGACCTTACTTAAGCGTTGCTTAAAGTTTAAGGATATAATTATCCTTTGGCCATCCCCCAGTCCTCAAAATAACTACCAAAAAAACTTCAAGCCATTTTAAGCAATTTTAATTATCTTAAAAGGTTATAAACATTCAGAGAAGTTCAATAGTTTTTTGTTTAAGGACATCCAAGTGTACAAATACTACCGGGATCTCATCACTTTCAAGTGCCAAGGAGATCCTGCACAGATGTTACGCTGCATTAACCCCATCGAGGTCTGTGGAATTTTAGGGCACTTTGAATCAATTTCTTATCGAAAAACTAAAATATAGTTAAAGAAAACTTGGCTCTTAAAACAACTTAAATAGAATTTTGTATATCGAACTAAATCGCTAAGCTCATTTTATTTCACGATGGCGTCCTTGTTCCAAAATAATCAAACACCTACTTAGTTGAGGCGCTCGACTTATGGTTCGACTTTCGGGACTTAAGTTCGTAGTCGGGAAGCAATTTTAGGCCGAGTACAAAGTCTAAACATACCCGATTTTGGTCAAGAAATGCGGAACATTAATCAAAACAAGTCGAAACAGGTGAGCAAGTCAAAACAGGTCAAGCATAGTCGGAACAAGACCGATTTTGGTCGAGCACAAGCGACACTTACCCAATTTTGGCCTAGAAAGTTCGAGCACAGTTGAAACATAGGTCAAACACAGTCAAAAAATTGGTCAGTCACAGTTGAAACAAAGCCGAGCACAACCGAAACAGGTCGAGCACAGAAGAAACAAACCCGATTTTGGTCGAGTATGTCACAACATACCCGAAATTGGTCGAGAAAGTCAAACCACATGTCGAGAAATTTCGAAACTTATATCGAGCCATGTCAAAAATAAGTACAGCACAATCGGAAACGTAGGTCGAGCACAGTCGACACATAGGTCGAGCACTGTCGAAACAAAGAACGAGAACAGTCGAAAGACGCTCGATTTCTAACAAAAAATAGAAACTTAGGTCGAGAAAATTCGAAACATAAGAACATAGATCAAGCATTGTCGAAAGATAGGTCGAGAAAAAACGAAACGTAGGTCGAATACAGTCGAAACATACCCGATTTTGATCAAGAAAGTAGAAACAGAAGTAGAATACATTCGAAACATATCCCATTTTGATTGAGGTTCTAGAAACATAGGTCAAGCTCAGTGGAAACATAGGTTGAGCACAGTCAAAATATAGATCAACAACAGTTGAGATGTAAATCAATCACAGCCAAAACATACATCGAGCACAATCGAAACATACCCAATTTCGATCGAGAAACAAGAAGCATACTTAGGTCGAACCCAGGCGTGTTGTTACTTACCCGAATTTGACCGGGAAACTTGAGCCACAGGTCGAGAACAGTCAAATTACACCTAATTTTTGTCGAAAAAGTGAAATTATGTCAAACACAGTCGAAGCATACGTCAAGCTCAGTCGAAACATATCTGATTTTAATCAAGAAAGTCAAACGATAGGTCAAACAAAGTCGAAACATATCTGATTTTAATCAAGAAACTCGAACAATAGGTCAAGCAAAGTTGAAACATAGGTCGAACGCAGTCAAAACATAGGTCAAGATCAGTCGAAATATAGATTGATCACAGTCAAAACATACATCGAGCACAATCGAAACATAACCAATCGAAGCAAAGTCAAAATCTACCCAATTTTGACCGAGAAAAAAGTAATTAGGTCAAACCCAGATAGGTAGAGCTCAGCCAAGATAGGTAGAGGTCAGTCAAAGCATAGGTCGAGCTCAGTCGAAACATAGGTCGAGCCCAGTCGAAACATACATAATTGTGGTCGAGAAAGTCGAAAATAGGTCGAGCACAGTCGAAACAGCTCGAGCACAATCGAAACACAAATTGGAGCTCAGTCAAAAATATTTCTTTTAGATATTTTCTATATAACCTCCTTACAATGGGTTATGAAATTCTTTTCATAACAATTTCTGGCAAAAAATGGCTAACACAATTACTCAGATATTACAATTTGCTGATTTCGAACCAAGAGTTTTGCTGTAAATTAGATTGATTTTGAACAGGCACAGCTGCTGGATGCTGCCTCTGGCGCTTTCGTGCGATTCCGACTGGCGGGGGAAAAGTTCCCTCCCAACATCTACTACAAAGTGTTCACGAAGAGTCCGGTGATAGACATGTGTGCGAACAGTCCCAAGAACTACGTCAAGCAATCCAGCCTCAAGGTAGCGGCCAGGGAACACAACAACAAAGTCCAGGGCGACGAGGAGTTGAAGGCCAAAGATCCAAAAGGTGTGCTATTTTCATAGAAAACTACGGGCTATGATCAGGTCTCAGTTCAGAAGAATAACCAAAATAAATAACATAACGTTCTTAAAACGGTATGAAACAGCGTTTCTCCGTACTTAAGAGCTGAACTTCCCATGCTCTATTCTCTTGTGGTTTAATGCTAGTCTATATGTGAAACATTGATTTAAGAGTCATGAAATGTATGTCTTTATAGGAACGCATGATTGGTACAAGAGATTTGAGAACAATGGTTGGCGACTCATTACAGATCGGGTGAGAGTTTGAACTTATGGATGTCACAATTTGTGGTACAATTTGTTCTCACGTTTGAGCTAAACAACTCTGCGAATGAAAATTTACTTCGTATACGAATAAAAACAGGCATAAATCAAATATTCAGCTGAATGTGCCAATTTAGATCCTCAAAAACTGAAGTTTTGAAACTAACATGTAGCGACAAAGATTGCGGCTGCTGTGCAAGTAGCACAGCATGTTCCGTTCATATTCTTGAAAAAACTCCCCAAAAAATTTTCCCAAAATGGCGCTAAATAACTTCAAAAAATAATCTAACTGGAATAAAACTAAATTTCCAGGGGTTTGAATGAGATTTTCATAGCTTATCTTTCTATACTCATAAGCCCTGCTTGCTCGAATTTGGACTGAAACTCAAAAAATTTGAACCACTTTTCTCGACAATGGAACTTTTAAAAGGTTCGAATCACGGCTGGGAGGGCTTCAATAAGATATATTACTCGACCAAATCCGATGAGCATTTCTGGTAGCTGAGTTTGCGTGAATAAAAAGAATGAAAAAAAAAATGAAAACACCCGAATACTAAGTTCCTACCCATTTTTACAGCTTTTTTTGATCGACTGCTTTGAGACACACTTTTTTTCTAGCACATTCACAATGGGGACTCTGACCGCACAACTTACGAGACGTCTCGCAAACTGTACAAACAACACCACGATGGTCTGCTGAAGATAGAGGACGTGAAGAGGAGGAGGAAAGAGAAGAAGATCAGATGGCTGAAGAAACTCTACGACCACAAAATGCTCAAGTGCAAAGACGAAAACGACCAGGTTATCACAGATTGCTCTTTTTCTGTCAACGTCGGGTTGTCTGGTGTCAAATAAGTTCTTCTGCCATTTTTTTCTGTGCCACTTTGTTTTCTGAGCTATCGAAAAGTTCCCGCAAAACTGATTCGGAGCTGAAACTTTCATTTCGAAACATAGTACAGTGTTGATTTAAATTATCCGGACAAAACGAACAAAACATGAAATTTCAAAAGCGTTTTTCTCAAATTGGGTTAAGATTAGACAAAAACTGAAGAGAACAAAAGTTGCTTAGAATTTCACCTGAATTAATATGGTACCATTTTTTCTCCGAAATTCTCAACAAAAATTTTACCCCAAATATAGGTGATTTTGGCTTTTTTCATTTAATCAAGAATTACGCGGGAACTACTTTGTTAATTGATAAGAAAATTATATCACAAGAAGCCTCTTACGCAGCTCAACAAGGTTTAAGGAGAGTTAAATCTCCAAAAACCAGTATAAGAGATAAAAATTTTCACATGATAGTCAGTAAATGTGATTTTACTATATAAAACCCAGGATCTCTGTTTAAAAATATATTTTAAACAATTTGAGCAAATTTATGAAGATTTAACCCTTCTTAAACTTTGTTGAGCTGCGTAAGAGGCTTCCTGTGATATAATTTTCTTATCAATTAACAAAGTAGTTCCCGCGTAATTCTTGATTAATTGAAAAAAGTCAAAATCACCCATTTTTGGGGTAAAATTTTTGTTGAGAATTTCGGAGAAAAAATGGTACCATATTAATTCTGGTGAATTTCTAAGCAACTTTTGTTCTCTTCAGTTTTTGTCTAATCTTAACCCAATTTGAGAAAAACGCGATTGAAAATTCAAGTTTTTTTCGATTTGTCCGGATAATTTAAATCAGCACTGTATGGTGTCTATAGAATTATTTTGAGGTTGGCCAGCCAAAAAAACTTCCACAAATTATGAGAAATGGTTTGCAAAACCTAAAAAGTTAGCAAAGTTGTTTGTAAAGCCTTTACCCATCAAAAGATCCTATATTCAATATAGCCTCACTCTCTTCATTCTGGTTGTAAAATGAGTTTGATCTTGTTTTCAGTACAAAAGTGATCAAGTGATGAGTTTGGCCGAACAGATGATAGACTGTGTGGAGGGCAGTGGTGACGCGAAGGGGGACTCCTCCTCCAACCCCTATTTTCCCTCCCCCTACTCCAAAATAGACGAGTACGATGAGTGGGAAGTAGATGAATTGCTGGGTTGGACCAATGCACTCAACTTCGACGAGTTAGTTCTAAACGTTTTTTTCCCTTATATCAATTTTATGAAGCTCTTCTTGGTTATGATGCATTTTTTGGTTCTTTTCTTTGTTCTCTGCCTGAATTTGATAGCTAAATCTGATGTACAATACACACAGTTTCAAAGCGCATCAAAAAAGTAAGACCTACTTGAAATTTAACAATAGCCAAAGTTACAATGCCTTAAACTATTAAAACCTTGAGAGGGTGGAGCGTGAGGGTCTTCTAATAATAGTGACTAAAATCAACTTTCATCATTAAAGATGCCCGAAAGAGCTCCAACTACCAAATGAAAAGTAATCTTAAAGAATTATCACAAGATGCATATTTGTGATATTTTTTTTGCGACATAGCACCAAATAAAACTGATCTGTTGATTTTATTTTGCTATTCTGGTTTTATGTATCATTTTTTGTTTTTTCCTTTTTATTAATTTTAGCCTGCTTCAAAGTATCCTGCTTCAAAGTTTTTGGACCAACTCCTAAGTCGGATTAAATCTCCGCTTACTTGTTAAAAGCGCGCAATATAACTTGGCAAAATTTTTTCTCCATAACTTTACAAAAAATTGATCACAGCTAAATTATCGTTTTAGTTTTGAGCTCAAAACAACCCAGTTTTCGAATGATATAGAAAAATTTTGTCCACGCTGGCTAAGCAATAAAACAAAATTTGTCTGGAGAAAAAAAACGACCCCGAGAACAAATATCTTTTACACGAAATTTTGATTCAAGTTGAGTATGCGGCTACTGGGCCGTTTGGCCTTTAGGCCGTCGAAGACAGTATAACTTTTTTCATGCACAAGGAATATGTTAGACAATAGAGTAATACAATGGAGTAAGAAATATACAATTGAAAATAAACTTTTATTATATTTTAGTTATCTGGATGATTGGAGAACGATAGCTAGCACCACTTCAGCCATCGAAAACCGTGAGAGAGGTTTGAGCTGACATTTTGTTCGTTTTTTAAAGCAGCAATCTCAACGGGTTTTTTATCGTCTTTATTGAATTTCCTTTTTCAGATACCCCCGTTGGAAACAGGAGGAAAGTGATCGAAAGCGAGATAGCAGAGTTCACAGTACAGAGAGAAACGAAGTTGCAGAACAACACCCATCCAGAACATGCCTCCCACCAATTCCTCTCATCCGCTCAAACCTTCTCTTACACTGCTAAAAATAACACTAATCAATCTTTTAACTTGTAGTCTATTTAAACTACGGTTTAATTTAAACTGTTGCATTCTATACTTTGCCACAAAGAAAAAACAATTTTGTTCATCAATTAGAAGTTCAGTCACTAGTTGAAAAGAAAAGTTCGGCGAAGTTAATGAATCGGTTATCTGAACGGATTGTCGCTCTGGTAGCGACTCGGTCCCGCAGGATTTCCATGTCGGTTTGGGTTGTGATACCGAACGAGCTCATTGTACCCTGTCGAGTCATTCTCATCGCCAGTAAGCACCGCGTTACGCAGATTTTTCATCTCGGCGAAGGGAAGATGAGCTTCGCCAACAGGTAATCCTGCTTGCTTTCGGGTTCTCTCTGACTCGAAATAGGTTTCGTGTTCTTCTGTGTGTTTGTCACAGGCTGCACAGACGGACAAGGAAGCCCAAGAGCTGCACTTACATCCTAAAATAGAATAACTGAACCATGAAGAGAAATGAGGCACGAGAATAATACTCGGAAGCCAACCCCGGGCCGAGGTTCGCGACTTATGCTGCGACTGAACTGGGCCGCGGAAAAGGACTTTCTGCTTCCGAAATTCCATAGTCCAGCGCGAAGTTCGAGCCGCACAAAGTTTCAAATTGCTAAAAATGGGCGCAGTCGAACTGAAAGTTTCAAATAGCGCAGTCGAACTGAAATTTTCTGGCCGTGCAAAGCCGCATTATGTCTTTTCTGAGTCGCGCTAAGTCGTGCAAAAGTTTTAACATTTCTTTTCTGAGTCGTGCAAAGTTGCAGCATACTACTTTTGGCATCCAGATTTTTAGTTCACTCGTCTCTAAAAACAGATTGATGTATTGTGTAATACTCGCCTGGCTTTTTACACTGATGAATTCCATTTGGATGATGATCTTCATGGGGATGTTTGCACGATTTACAGTTCAAGCGGAATGTTTTTGGGTTGAATCCGGGACGTTTGCGGTGCCAAAACTCGCCGACGTCTTCTGGTCTCGCTGGCATGAACTTGAAGGCTTTACATTGGCACCCGTGAAATTGACAGGGAACAGAGGTGTTAGGAATGTCTGCTTTGTACTGCTTGTGTTGGTTCAATAGATGTCCACAGAAACACATGTTCTAAAACAGAATTAAATGGCCTTTAACTGAATGTGATTAAAAAGTGAGCGCATAAAGGCTCACTGAAAAGACAAAAGACTAAGGCCTCTGCTTAAACATAGCAAGGATAGCCGGTTACTGTGCAAGTAGCACCGAATGTACCATAGTCATAAGCAAATACAATTTTTTTTTTCAAATTAGTGCCGTTTTTCTGTGCGCTGTGATAACAAGGTCTGAGTAATAAAAATAGAGCTTAGGCTTATTCGACAGTCATAGTAATATTGGTCAATTGAAAAATATTTTGTTTGTAGAAAAATGACAAGAAAAACGACAAAAAAATTGTACAGAAATAATTTCAAACAATTTTTTGCAGACATTTTTTGAGTTTTTGAAAATACTAAAATGGCGTCAAAAAGCTCCAAAAACTAATTTTACACGAGTAAAACTTTTTTTAACACGGCTGAAATATAGCATAAATAAGCTATTGTAAGCCTAGATCCTCACCTTATTGGCTCAAAATTGAATCAAAAATCAAAAATTTCAAACCGTTTTTCTCGAATTAGGAAGTTTTTTTTTTGCCGTTCGAATCACGACTGAGTGGGATTTAATATGATATATCACTCAACCCAATCCGATGATTATCCTAATAGAAAGGAATGCAGTATTCTATAAAAAATTATCGGACGCTCTTTGTTCGATCTTTTTTCCATGATGCACCTGTTATATTTTAAAAGTAAAATTCCATATTTTAACGGAGTTAACTAGTAAATTAGCAACCTGATCGTTGACCCTAATGCAGTCCCATGTGAACTCTGGACACCTCCAGCTGATGTAGATGCCAGTCTCCAGGGCCCTCATCGCCGCATCTTTCTCCGGCTAAAAAAGGATAGGATCTGGCTACTCTTGGAGAAAGGGAAGGAGCCATTGTATATCAACTGTAAAAAACCAATAAAAATTAGGTTATAATGAAAAGATCCACGATATCAGCAGATTCAATTCGGCAGCAAACAGCATTCCTCCGAAACCAAAAATAGCAAAAGAAGTAAGTGGAGCATTTTGCTAAGATCAATGAAATTAAAGTAATTAAAAATTGAAATAAATTTGCTTGAAATACTCTTCAAAACCGGAAGGTGCTAGAAAGTTGAGTTGAACGGAAAATCAGCATACGGGAAAATCGGACTATAAATATTCAGTGACGTGTGCAGAAACTTTTCTAGGGGGGTCAGTTTTTTGATGAAAAATTTGTTGATCTTTTTTTCGATTAGGTTATCCGAGCTCTCCAAAAAACCACAAAGACCCCATTTTATTAAAAAATTTTCTGCGCTGCAATAAAATGTTTGAACAAAGTCTTGAAATGACGTTAAAAGAGACGTCAAAGACTCAAATTTAGGCGCCAAAAGAGCTTTTAGAAAATTTTTGATGTTGGCCAGCCAAAAATGGATCTCGTGAAATAGTACAAAAAAGAGACCTTTTGAAAAAGCTTTGCAATCAGAATTGAGGGGAAGGGGATTGTTCTTGCCTTTTCTTCCTCGACACGCTACTGTTTATAAAGAAAAAACTGGAAAATTGAGGCAACAAACTTTTGAAGTTTGTGTCAAAATTGATGTGCAAAAAGCGAGAAAAAACACCAAAAACCTCTGAATAAAAAAAAATATATGCTGAAATCAGTGTTCAGTTTAACTTATATGAGCTACGTTCGGGCTATTTTTGTGCTATTGTGTGCTGCGAGGTTGCTTTGCATTATTTTTTACTTAGTAAGTTTAATCTCACTTTCAAATTTTTTTGTTGCGACTTTTTTTGAAAAAATAATGACGAAAAATTTGTGCTTGGAAAGTTTTTTTCTCTCCAGACAAACGTCCGAACTTTTAAATATCAATTTTTGGCAAAAATTTTTTAAAAAAATAATTTTCATTCAAAAGGTATTGTTGTTCTGAGCTCAAATTTAAAAAAAATTATATTTTTACCTGTGATACTTTTTTGTTAAGTTAGTGGTATTTTCAAGGTTGCCAATTTGGTCAATTTGGGACAATAATTATTGCGCAATATTTTCACTCTATTAACGTGTGAGCGGAGATTTAAGCCGTTCAAGAAGTTGATGCAGTTGGGTTGAGGCATGCTCTTTGATTTATTTTAATTATTCTCATAAGCAAAACATATGAATTTATTTTGCTCTTAACAATAAATAAAATGAATCAAAGAGCATGCCTCAATCCGACTACATCAATTTCTTGAACGGAATAAATCTCCGTTCACTCGTTAATAATATGAAATATATAACTCAATAATTATTGTCCCAAATTGACCATGTTCGCAACCTTGAAAACTCCCACAAATTTAACGAAAAAATATCACATTTATTCATATTTTTTCAAAATCCAAAAATAAAGATTACTAAAAAAAGAGATTCTTCTCTGTTCATTTGAAATTTGACCTTTCTAATATATACCTTTCTAATTGTCATTGAACCCTTTGCTCTGTTTTATGCTCAGAAGAAGCATCAGAATATTTTATTTGCGAGTGATCGACGAAACAAATAGAAAAATTCAGCCATTTAACCTTTTGCACATCCAATTTCTTTTTGTTTATGGGATCTTTTGTTAAATGCGGAGAAACTTTGTATTCGGTGTGTTATAGTTTTTTCTTCTTGTTTTCTACGCAAAGTCATGTACCACCAGAAAAGTCATCAAAAAAATGGGTGGAGTTATCAATCATATTAAGACCCCTCCAGTCATGATTCGAAATTTTTTAAAATTCGAAAAAAATATATCACTCAGTGTCGAGACTTTTTGTATTTTTGGGACTCAACACATCAACAATTCAAAAAAATTTTGCAGAAAAAAATAGAAAAAATGTTCGAAAGTTTTTAATTTCTTCCTTACATTTTTTTTTCGTTTTTCTAATTTTTTCTACATGTTTGTTTTGCAGTTGGCCTATTTGACTATCATTGTCGAGTAAACTTATTAAGCCTTATAAGCCAAATTTAATGGTTGGAAATCATGAAAAAACAATAAAAGTATACAGAAAATTTGACGTTTGTGACCAGGGGCGGAATCTAGGATTTTTCTCGAGGGGGGGGGGGGGAGTTTTTGTCGGCTTTTTTTTTCTAGATCGACCAAATTGGTTTTCTGAGCTCTCCCAAAGCACTAAAAAGACCCTGTTTTTGCCAAAATTTTTTGCGCCGCAGGCAAAATTTGAAAAAACATGCCAAAAAGAGCGTTTTCAGGGCAATTTTTGAAGAATTTGACTAAAAAAATTGCGTTTTTACAGCGCGCGCTCCCCCCCCCCCCCCCTGAAAACTAGTTTATATTGGCGCCAAAGGCGCCTTTAGAAAATTTTTAACGTCAGTCAGCCAAAAGTGGATATCTCAAAATAGTACAGAGGGGGACGCTTTGGGTCGTCATGGGGTCGAATCCCTGAGGGGGGGGGGGGGGGGGGGGGGGGGTGTCCGCCCCCTCTCCCTAAATCCGCCCTCGTTTGTGACCTGCTTTTTGGATCTATCTAACGTTTTCAGGTACAGGTTTTGACACAATAACTAGAATTCTTAATACAGTACTGATTTAAATTAACCGGACAAAACGCGTTAAACTTGAAATTTAAAATCCGTTTTTCTCAAATTGGCTCGAGTTTAAGTGAAAACTTATGAAGACAAAACTTGCTTAAAATTTTGCAGAATTAACATGGTGTAAATTATTTTGCGAAATTCGGGCCCGAAATTTTTCCCCAAAAATGGGTCATTTTGGCTTTTCTTAGTCGATCAAAAATTACGCCGAAAATACCCAGTTGATCACAGACATAATTATATCAAAGTGAGCCCCTTACGTAGCCCAACAAACTTTAAGAAGGGTATAATCTCCAAAATATTGTGTAAGTTAATTTATTTTTGTTTGATAGACAAAAAGGTCGTTTTTACTATATAAATACCAACTTCTTATTTAAAAACAATTTTTAAACAATTTGCAATTTTTTTTGGAGAAAATACCCTTCATAAAGTTTGTTGGGCTACGTAAGGGGCTCTCTTTGATATAATTATGTCTGTGATCGACTGGGTATTTTCGGCGTAGTTTTTGATCGACTAAGAAAAACCAAAATGACCCATTTTTGGGGAAAAATTTCGGGCCCGAATTGCGCAAAATAAATTACACCGTATTAATTCTGCTAAAATTCTAAGCAAGTTTTGTCTCTATAAGTTTTCACCTAAACTCAACCCAATTTGAGAAAAATGCGTTTTAAATTTCAAGTTTAACGCGTTTTGTCCGGTTAATTTAAATCAGCACTGTAACTTAAATGCTCTAAACTGAAAATATTTCTAAAAAACAAAGAGAAACAAACAGAAAAAAAACTGCTCAAATCGATCGAGGCAAAGCATTGAATTCTTCGGAACCTACATTTTATCGAAGAAAATGTTTGAGGTTAAAAAACTAGCGTTATTTGAAATAAACAAAATTAGCCAACGTAATTTCAAATCCGATCCCTAATATTATTTAAGCAAACGATTGCAGGTAGTAAATCATTTTGACTTTTATTTTTGGATATTAAGAAATTTCAATGAATGAAGCGAAATTTGCCTGGAGAACACGATCTAATTTCAGGGCACAGATATAGCTTGCTTTGGAAAGATAAAGGCTGCATTTTTTTATTACATGGCTAAACTGTGCACTGGATAGGCGCGCAATTTCGTGTCTGTATGTTCCTGGACACTTTAAACAAGTGAAAATTTTTGGTTCAAAGAAAATGAAAGAAAAAAAGAAGAAAAAAAGGAGCGTCCTTGACACAGAATCTGCTTACAATTCATAAATGCACAGTTTGGTCTCGTAATGAAGTATGAAGTGTCTTCGGTGATGTCACTTTTAAGAAACTTTTTGCCAAAAGAAAAAACAAAAAAAAGGCTCGATGGATTTGCGGGAGGAAAAAATCTGCCTCATATGGTCTGAGGGGCAAAACAACTGAAAAACAGTTATTTGGAACCCTATTTGGAATGATTAAAACTGAGTTTTTTTAATGTCAAGCTTACAATTTCAAGCAATGGCTACTCATTTTTCAGTATACTCATTTTTCTCAAGAATAATTATTCTTACTCATTATTCAGTCGCTTTACAATGTTTGCTATCGGAGAATAAAGCGAGCTCTTTGTTTTTGGTTTTGTTGCCGCTCGTGAAGCAGTTGGCCTGATTGCATTGGAACTGATTTGGCGTGAGGATTTATCATCATATTATAAGAGGGTTTATCATCACCATTAAAAGGCCAAACTGTGTGATTTGTGAATTGTAAGCGGACTCCCCAATAACCTGAAAAAAATGTATCGTTAAACGCGCAGCAAAAAGCTATTCTTTTGCTGTTCTGTAATTAACTTGTTTCTTTAATTTTTTTATTTAATATTTGATCTTACTGCTTTTTGCACGTTCCGCGACACACCAACAAAACTTACATCTTAAGCCTTTTTTGCGATTTCCGCCATAGTTTGATAACAGAACCTTTGACCTACATAACTCATAATTTCAAGAGTTCCCATTTTTCACAATTTTCATGAAATTGATAACTAGAACCTGAATACTTTGTTTAAACGGCACAAAATGGAAATTGCGTAATTCTGAGGACAAAAAACCAAAAATTCTCTTAAGGAACAAAATGGAAAAAGTAGTGGTCATGCAACTTAATGTAAAGGGCTCATGAAAAAAATGCTAGATACACAAATCTTGTTGCACGACTAGCATTTTCATTGAAAAGCATCATTTCTACAAAATTACAAAGTTATCATATTTGTTATGACAAATTTCAAATATAGTAACTTCATATAGTGATGGCACTCAAGCTAATTCGAACTTGACATTAAAATACGAGAAAAATTATTGAAACTTTTCGTCATTGTGGAATTCTAGCCATTGCTAGGCGTATTGTTTTGTATGCTTAGCTTTTTTAAGAACCAGAAAGTTTTCTTAAATAGAAAAAGATTTTAAATTTGAAGGGCGAAGTTTTGATCCGTAGTTACACTAACAAGTTCATTTTTTGTTAGGTTTCATTTAATGGTATCCAAAGTAGTTTTGCAGGCAAAATACATCATAAAATTTGATCAAAAATTGTTTCGCTTGAAAATGTTTGTCGTACAATTTTCAAACATTTTATAAAAAATTCCTTCCATGACATCAAAAAAATACAATTCTGTGCTCAAAATAACATTTTTTGAATGAAATTTTTGTCCTGCAAAAAAAGTTTCTTAAACGTAGTCCAGACACAGTTCTTTCCCAATCAAGAAACAAAAGTCACTATCTGTACGAAGCCACAATTTGTTTTTGGTTCTACTTCTTTGCTCCATCTTGCATAAGCATCAGTTTTATGGCGTAGGGAGGAGTTTTTCAAAGCTAAATCCGATGATCAAAAAAGTTTATTACGGCCTGATTAGCCCGTGTGTCAAAAAACTGGGTTTTAAAAACATTCTTCAACCGTTTACAGAAATAGAAACTTTTCTGTTAAAGTTCTGAATAAAAAATTACATGACAGTTGTCCAAACGCACATTTGATAACCTTGTTTCTGAATTTTTTTAGAACAAAATATTGGTGATTGGGTTTAAGGACCAAACAAACACTCAGCTATAAAATTTAACAAAATTAACATTACCCGCACTCAGTAAAAAGAGAAAAAAAGTCAAAAGTCGATTCTATTACAATTATAATCGTACTTTTATCAAAATTTTAAATAACTTCAAGCGCCAAGCTTAGATGTTTGAGCAATTTTGAACCCATCATAATGATAACATTTTTCATGACATTATAATTAACTATAATTAATTATAACTGTTTAATTCTCTTAAACATCTCATATTAATTCTAAAATCTCGCGTTTAGGTGAAAATCATAATATCTTGTAGTCTCTTATAGTCTCTTATAATCTCTTATTATCTAATAAAACAGATTAGAATCCTTTTTTCATGTCACGAATCTTTAAAAGGGAGATGTCTTGTCACTCTTTGTTTCATCTGAACAGAAATGCTACCACGAAACAAAAATTTCGTAGAGATCATTTCGTATTAGTTGAAAGAATCCCGAGGTAGGTGAAATATAACTCTTCTTTATAAATGATCAAACTAAAGCAGTGTGCTGATTTTTTAGTGGTCAAAAAATTTAAAATTTGCATCATGAAACAACTAATAGAAAGAGGATATGGAAAAAAAAACGTTATAAAATTGAAAAGATTTGAAAACTGTCAAAACAATTTTCCCATTTTTCACATAAATCAACTTCTACGAAAAGCATACAATATAAGCAATTAACGTGGAATATTAAAGGCAAAACGAGCAAACAAAAAGTTTATAAACAATTATAACAGATTATTATGTATTTTTTCTGCAAAACAAAAAAATCAGAGTTTTGGATAAAAGTAATTAATTCAAATCGATAATAAAGTGTTATATTTAATTATATTTGATTGCAAAAAGAGAAATTATAATCAATTATTAAATAATTAAAATCAGTGTTCTCTCAATTTTTTCAAGACTGGTAATAAAATCATTTTATAGTCAATTACTAATGCTTGAAAGTGGATGCGGGCAATCTTTCCCATGATTGCCCCCAGTAAATTAAAGCCACCTGTAAAAAAAATCAGATAAGAAATAAAAATTATCATAATCAAGTAAAAACCTGAAAATTGCGTTATTGAAGTACTAACTGGGAACTTTATGAAACGCTTTGCTTAATAATAACAAACCCATGTGAATGAATTTTCGAATGGAAGCCCCGATGGTTGAAGCACTTCGGTTGTTCTAAAGTCAAACTAAGATTGACAAACTGGGAGAAGGGCTAATTTTTACAGTTCTTCGCCTCTTTTACCATCCTTGATTTTTTTTAGAAAAAAAACGTATTTAATTTTGTCATAATGCAATGAAATTTTTGAGCAAAAAACTAGCAATTGTGAACAGACTTGTTCTTCATACCTTTAATTGTATAATAAAACGTAAAACAACTAAACAAATTTGAAAAGTTCAAATGTGTGTAAAGAGTAGGGGGGATTAGTTATGTGGTTGAAAAGAGAAAACACGAAACACATTTAGCCATAGCTACAAGTACAACAACAATAACAATTAAAAGTTTTTGGATTAGGTGAAAAACAGTTTCTTTCGTTGTTTTGCTACATTACGAGGCCAAACTGTGCTTTGGATAGGTGCAAATTTTTGTGTCTGTATGTTCCTGGACTTCAGAGGAAACGCGGGTTGACGTCCATAGAAGAAAAACGATAGTCATAAAGTTTCATATATGAAGTCTATGGAAAAAACGCTTATCACACAAAATTCATACAAAATTTAAAAACTGTTTTAAAAATTTAAATGAACAGTTTTGTCTCTTTTGAAGCTTTCTGTTTATTTGTTCTACTTGCCTCTTTTGAAGTTTTCTGGTCATTAAAAGTTTGATTAAAAATTTTTGATAAATCAAATGCTTGCCATACAATTTTCAGGTACGAAAATTATAAGACAATCATTTTGTCATAATTTTTTTCTTCAAAAATCACCAAAAAACATGTCTGGGTAACTTTAAATAGATTTGATTGATTATATCTAAGATAGAAGGCATTTTGACAATCAAAAACATAACTTAAGTTTTGGTCAGAAAAAATGCTTATCATACAGTTTTCATATATGAAAATTGTATGATATATATTTTTTCATAAACAAAAACACAAATTTGAGGTAAAATTTTTTTAATCCCTCTTTTGGCTACAAACTTGCTTTTGTGCTCAAATATGATTGTTACGAAAAAAAAATTTTGTTTGCAAAATTTGACTTTTTGTGTTTATAACATAGTCCAGGATGAGTTTTTCACCCAAAAAGTCTAAAAATCACAAAAAGTTTTTTTTATTGTGAACACGATTACGATTTTTTGTTTCATTTGCTAAGATAAAATTCTATTTGCAAAAAACAGGCCTTTTTTCTCAACAACCAAAGTTTTTCAAACTAACAATTATCTAGCCATATACAAAAAGTTACATTTTTGATAAAAAATTCCATGTGAAAATGTTTAAATTAACTTGCAGGGTTAAAATCACCAAATGCAGATTATCTATGGAAAAAACGCTTTGTTTGCTATTTTCATACACTTACTTTTTTCTATGAAATTGTATGAAAGAGTATGCTAAGCATTTTTTTTTCATATATGAAATTTGTATGATAAGCATTTTTTGCCAACTCGGGAAGGTAAAATTTTCTCAGAACGATCAAAAGTATGAAACAACAAAACAAGAACAAAGGGAGTGTCCTTGCTGCGGAATCAGCTTACAATTCACAAAATACACAGTTTGGCCTCATAATGTACCTGGTTGGGTGTTATAATAAGAAAAACCCAAAAAATTACTAGTTTTACAACTACATAGAATTGAGAAAAGGCTAGTCATTAAGTTTCATACCTTCCACTCATTTTTATAACAGTTTTAACGTGATATTATGGCTAAATGGGATGTAACGATGTAGAGTTTTAAGATTATATCTGTTGATAACTGTGAATCTGTTCACCGTACCAAGTTTCATTGCATCATAAAAGTATGAGGAAAGTATGAAATTGAAAAATAGGAGGGGTGGAAAAAAGCTGTATTTTTGTCTAAAACAGATTTTTGATTTTTAAAATTTCTTAATTAAACTTTTCCACTCACAGCAAACAACTCCTGCACCCTCTCTCCGAACTGATCCTCGTGCATGGCCTTGGCCACAGCAATCAACTCCGGCTTGTCCGCTGGCTTGATGATCCTCTTCGTATACCCTGGCAAAACACGAACTAAATCTTCAATTATGCTTTTTTTTAAAGCGAAGTTGTATAAAAAAGCAAGAAAGGTCAAACGCCTTGAATCGACGCATTAATTTAGAGACTTAGAAAAGGGTCAAAAGTGTGTTATCATTTCTTTGTTCTTCGGTCTTTCTGAAGAAGAAGAAGAAAGAACACTTGAATTACTATACAATAAAAAGCCGAGGCATCAGTGTAGCAAAGTGTAAATAATAAAATTGGTTATAAATTCATTGGTTACATCAAACAAAAACAAAACATCAGAAAACAAGCAATAAACAAAACAAAAAAAAAACAAAATCGGTTACAGTTCGGAAATTGGTTGATTAAAGTATATGAAGTTTCGGATACTATAGAAAATTAAAGATTTAAGAATTAGGAACAAGCTGGTAATAAAACTTTACAAACAATTTTACAGATAGTCCAATTATACAACGTATATGCAGAGTATATACAGTTTCTCTTTCAAGCAATGTGTGAAAAATTAAACTGAATTAAAAAATATAGAACTAGCAAAAACGGTAATCACGCCACGTATTTGTATTAGTACATATAGGATTGTTTCTCAATTCACTCACGTAAAATTCTTTCAATTTTTTCTTGAATTCTGTTTTCGATTTTTCTAAATTGCGCAAAATTATGGGCAGTGAATTCCATTTTTTAGAAGTCAAATGAAAAAATGATTTTTGTAGAGAAGCAGTCGAACAATGTTTGTCAAAAATAATTTGTTTCGTTCTTTCGTTGAGCCTATAATTGGCAGTCGGTAGTCTCAGTGTATTTTCAAAAGCCTTCTTTTTGTTTGTAAGATATTGGTATAAGTATGTTATACACTTTAACTCAATTCTTTTCTCGATTCCAATGAACGATTTGCTAATGCGAAGAAGGGAAGAAGATTTAAAATTCGATCTGAAATATATTCTTTTTAGCGCCCAGTTCAACTGTTTCTCCAGAGATAGCATCAAAGTAGCATTAATTTGTTGTAAAAAAATTGCTGAATAATCTAAATGTGATAAAACAAGACAATGAAGCAAGGCAACTAATGATAATGTCGGCAGTTGTTGTCCAATTGTATCAATAGTTTTAATCCCTTGGGCCATTTTTTGGAGAATTGTTTTGATTTGAGCATGAAAAGATAAACTTGAATCAAGAATTATGCCTAAATATTTGCATTCTGATTTTTTGGCTACATAATGCCCACTAATTACTAGTTTATCAGTATCCACATTTTTGCTATCATTTTTTTGACAAAATGTTATAAATTCCGATTTAGATGCATTCAGATTCAATTGGTTCTCTGCAAAAAATTCCGTTAGATTATTGAGTGATTTTTGCAATCGATTCAAAGCATCCTCAGAAATTATAGAAGAGGAAAAAACCATACAGTCGTCAGCATGGTTTTTTCTTTTGGACTAAACGTTGGATCTTTTCCAGTCCACCCTAAATTTGCAATAAAACGTGTCATCGTAAACAAGTGAACCAAAACATTTCTTTCATGCAAATTGCAGTATGAACTATTTTAAACAAATATTTTTTTTAAATTTACGACGGTGTTGAAAACTGGATAAGCTGAGTTTTCTACCTTTCTTCTAATGCTGGCGTTAAAAAATTCTGAAACGCTCAAAGCAGCAGATCAACATCAGTTTCATGTTTATCATTATCGCCTTATAATGCAGGCGGACATCTAGTCTTTTCTCGAGTTATTGGTTTTCAAAAAAAGATTCGACTTTTTTTATTTTGACCAAAGTGATTTTCCACGCATTCCAAAAACACTGAAAGATTGCTGCAGGCGGATTTAATTTGACGACGCTTACCTTTAGGCGCATACTCAATCTCTCCATTGGGCAGTCGTCTTTTCTCGATTGGAAATGCATTCGGGTCGATCTTTGGAACCATCTGTTTCCCACCTCCTGGAGTTTTCGAACCAGTCGCTTTTGCGCCCGATGAGCCCACGGCTCTATTAGGCCGATTTTTAGACCCACCAGGTCTTGAATTGTTTGAGGACCCTTGTGGATTCCCAGTTCCTTTCGAGGGTCGAGACGTCATCTGACTCTTGATGCCTTTTAGATGGTAAATATCTCTGCACTTCTAGCCAAAATTGCGATTTTTTATAAATGTTTAGTTGTTTTGAAGGCGCCAAAAATGACGCATGGCCTGTATGCATGTTTTCAAACATGGTTTTTGCATTTTGTTCGTAGTCCAGTGTGCACCAGTTGAGTGAAATTTAGTTTGCCGTAACAGTCAGTACATTATGTTTATCCGTTGTCTCATTCAGTAAAGTGTAAAAATATCGTTTAAAATTGCACGTGCTTGAATTATACAATACGTACTTTTTCAGATAGGTTTCAAATATTCCCTCAACATTTTTTTCGAAGAAATGATTTGAGTAATGGCTAATTTTGCTTTATGACAAGCAAACCGTCCTGTGCCTTCTCGCATTTTACCAGTTTTTTTTTTGTTTTTATGCGTCACAATATCCAATTAAAATATACTTGCTGATTCCAAGTTGACAATTGCGCCTGTTTTTGGACAGATTTAGATTAAACAATTTTTATCTAGAAATGATATAAACAAATATTCTGATATTACAGAGAACCTATATTGTGTGACTCTCGACTCTTTTTATATGTAAAAAGACTGGGCGTGGACTAACTTACCTGCAAAAATTTTAAAACTTTGTATGCGAAAAAAAATTGTTGGTCACAAAACTGGTTTGGCGACTAAAATGAGGACTAAAAAAGTTTCTCTTCAGTGTTTCAATTTTTAATACAATTTTTGTAAACTGAATTAGTATGATAAACTTTTTTTGTTCAAAAAAATGATAAATAAAACATGAACAAAGTGTTCTTATTCAAATAAAAAACGATGTACGCTCAGTCAAACTTAGCTGAAAACTCATTTAGAAATATTTCTGCAACGAGTTACTGTACTCATAGAGTAATTTCAGATAAGGTACATCGTCTGTTTGTCGCGCCTTCTTATTTTCGGCCGGATAGGTTCGTGCAACTTCTTAGTCTAATACCAATCTTAAACTTAGTCTTATATCTCCTAGTCTCAATAGATCTAGTGCATACTGGTTTTCGCGAGTTAGTTCTTGGAGTTTATCCAGAAGGAGAACAACTGTAGACTAAGATTTATTTAAATTGTTCTGGTGCGGAAACTACAAGTTGTTTCAGCACTTACAAGTAAGTGTCAATGTTAGAGATGGATTATGATTGGTTAGTTAGTAATATTTTATAGTGATAATTTATCAATAATATAATTGGATATAAATAATAGTCTAGAACTGGTTCCACCCATCCGGGGCTTAGAGAGCTTTTAGTTTTTAATTGTTTAATGTAGTGAGGGACGGGTGATGTAGTTTTCTTTGGAAGTTTTGAGCAGTGACTTCTTGAAGAGGGGAGAGATGTAGTTGTTCGTGTAGATGGAAGTCAATTATTTGACTGTTTTACGCAAATGAAATCCAGGAAGCGAGGGACTGGTTATAAAAAAGAAATTGGCTGAACAGATAAACATAATAAAATGTGTGCAAAGTTGAAAATAAGAAAGCTTCAAATAGCATTAAATTGTCATCGGCTTTTATTATTTCTTCATATGAGACAAATCGAAACAATGCGACATCTATAATTAGAAAACAAGAACAAATTGTATTACGACGAAGTTTTTTAAAATTTTTGTTGAAAGTCTAAAAACTGGTAACAGATAAAATCACAGACAAATTGAGTTTAAACACTGGTAAATCATTGGTCTTCAACTTCATTGAAACTCAGCAAAAATCGAGAAAGGAAAAATATAAGAAACAAGTTTCTCTTTCTGTGCTTGCAAAAAAAACTTCTACAAGCTTTTCTTGACTTCACTTTTAATGTATTCATAGTAAAAGGCGTTTTTTTTCGTCAGAGTTAAAGCTTGTTCTCAATAAACATGATGGGATGAACGATCCTAAAAATTAGAGATGTATAAATTGTTAACCAGCTTCGTTAAATATTTTTAATGAATCAATTGCATCAAGACTGGTCAAATCAGGGCAAAACCCTGAAAACTTCGACTGCCTTTTAAGGTCTATGGAGCAAAAACTAACATAAAAAATAAATGATATAAAATTAAATGAAAAAAAAAATAAAATTTGAGATTTTTTTTTGAAAATCATTACCCCACACGCATATAAAGTACAGAGTGATAGATTTTGCTCCTAGTAACAAATCAACTACGGCAAATAAGCTTCCTTCTACCAATTTGGAACAATTTGTAAGACAGATTAAAGCTCCTCTTACGCGTTAAAAGCGCCAAGTATATCGCAATCCTTAATCCCCTTTTGAAAAAAAATGATCACTGTGAAATATCTTTTCAAACTTAAGCTCAGGGCAACAATACTTTTTGAATGATATAAAAAATTCCGTCAAAACTAGCTAGTTAAAATTTCGAAATTTGTCTGAAGAAAAAACCCACCTCGAGCACAAACATTCCGTTACTTTCGTTACGAAATTCAGAACAATAAAATTATAAATATTTCATCAATTATCGTAGTATTTTGAGACCCAATTTTTGTAATGTTTAAAAAGTGATCTTCAATTGCATGAACTAATAGTTTTTTTTCGGGATAGAACAGAAAGAACTACAAGACTGCTTGTATCAAGGCCAGGCCCTGAATGTTCCGATTGCCTTTTAGGGTTTATGGAGCAGTAATAACAATACAAAATTCAATGTCATAAAACAAAATGATTTTTTTTTCTTGAATTTGAAATTTCTTATAAAAATCATCCCCCCACACGCCATATAAAGTACAAAAGGATAGATTTCGCTCCTTGTAACAAATCAATCAAGGTAAATAAGTTTCTTTCAACCACCAATTTGGAACGATTTCTAAGACGGATTAAAACTCCGCTTACGCGTTAATAGCGCGAAATATATCGCGCGTTAATTGTCCCATATTGGCCAAAACGGCAATCTTTAAACCCCCATATTTTGATCACGAAAAATGATCACTGGTAAGTTTTTTTTTTCAAATTTGAGCTCAGGACAACAATACCTTTTGAATCATATTTAAAAATTCCGTCAAAAATGGCTAGTTAAAAAGTCGAAATTTGTCTGAAAAAAAAGCCCACCCCGAGCACAATATTCCGTTACTTTCGTATCGAAAGTCGGAACAAAAATGACGTTTATTTGTTTAGTTGAAAAAATTTTCGGTTTAGTCTAGTGAACCACTCCATATAACGCAAAAAATTGTTGAAAAATTAGATTGAGATAGTAACGTTAAATTTGCTGAGAATTTTTGCTGATGAACATGTTGAGAAAACGAATTTTTTTGCTTGCTTAATATCATTTTTTTTGCAATTACAAAATCATTTGTGATTTTTAACAGCTTGTACCTAGTCGCATTTTGCTGTCTAATGAATCAATGAAGACTCCCTGCGAGCTGTGACCTAAAACTGATGTGCTCTTCTATGTCGTATGTTTCTATATATGTTGTAAGCAAGACAACTGCGTTTCATCTTCTAATGTAGATGAAACGTAGTTGTTTTGCCTAAAACTTTTTTCTTTAGGATTCATAAATTAAACCTATATAACAATTTTATAATAAATAAGATTCTTAATATTATTGCCAACATTCTCATCAAAGAAAATCGTTTTTTGCCATAAATTTTTTGATTCTCATAGCGAACTGTTCTCATGATTTTTAAAATAGTTATAGTTTATCAAAAAAAACATTCTTTCCTGGATCGCTTGGTCTAGTCTGTCATTCGTCTAGCCAAGAATCGTTCTTAGCCAACAGGCTGAATAGTTGCTGAAGAACAGTTGTTGCCAAGAATCGTTCGACAGTTTGAAAGCATTCTTGTAGGTTTTCGAAGATTGAAAAAATCATAAGCAATAATCTTATAGATTTCTGTAAGATTTGGGAGACGTTTCACAACAAATTTTTGAAGAGTTTTTACTGGTATCTAAGGTTAAATGAATTTTCATTTTTTTGGATCTTCGCGTCTAAAGCCAATAGTTCCGCCCAATGATTAAAACGCAATAGTTTTTATATCCTATGGGAAGTATGATCAGCTCTTTTTTGCAACCTTCAAATATTTGGCTCAGATTGTCTTTTTTCTAATTAAAAGTAGCATACAGTAGCATTAAAAGAGTTATTTTACTATTGCATATCTGGTCAATCATTAAGCTATACGTTTGAAGGTTCTGACTACGAAGTGGAGGGATAAAAAGAGTCCCAAATTAATTATGTTAATTAATTTCAGTTCTTTTCCATTCCACGTAAGTTTCATTTGAATAACTTTTATTTTTTACCATGAAGTTTGAAGAATTAATGTGATCAAAATAGCCATTTGTTGCCATGCAAAATTTCAATAAATTATTTTTTTTCTTAACAATTCTTTTGAGTTTTTGATACAAAGTATGCACAGAATTTTTCTCTCCAATCGAAGTTTCATTAAAATTTTTTTTAAAAAACGTTGAAATAGATTTTTAATAAATTCAAACAAGTATTTTCCAAAAAAAACTTTAATGTCAATGAAAAACTTCCAAGGACGAGCGCTCTCATCCTTGGAAAACTGCAGTTTGTCAAATCAAACCAGAGTGTTCAGCAAACATTAAAATCAATGGAACCACCCCCACCTTTAATTTACCCCTCAGGGATTCGACCCCCTGTCGACCCAAAGGGCCCCCTTTGTACTATTTTGAGATATCCATTTTTGGTGATGGACCCCAAAAATTTTCTAAAAGCGCTTTTGGCGCCAACATATACTTGTTTTCAGAGGGGAGCGCGCGCCGAAAAAACGCGACTTTTTTGGTCAAAGTTTTCCAAAAAGTGCCTACAAACGCCTTTTTTGGCCTGTTTTTTCAAAATTTTTCAAATTTTTGGCCAAAATACGAATAAAACAGTGCTTTGGGAGAGCTCGAAAAATCAATTTGGTCGACCTATAAACTAAAAAGAAGGTCGACACAATTTTCAAAAGTTTTTTGAAAATCCGCTCCCCCCCCCCCCCTCGAGAAAATCCTAGATCCGCCCCTGATAGACGCGAAAAAAAAAATAAAATTAGCATCAGTCAACTTAAATAATTTTTTGGAACAAATGAGCTAAAAAACAAAATTTTTAATATAAAAAATAGGAAAAACGAAGTGATGAAAAACATTGCAAGAAAGCGTTATTTTGCTATCATCTAAACATAAGATAATATAAAACATTCAAGGACAACAAATCTATGTATGTATGTATGTATGTATGTATGTATGTATGTATGTATGTATGTATGTATGTATGTATG